TAGTAGCTATGTGATAAAATGGTGCTTTACACATAAAATATATTATCACAGTATCAGTTTATAAATATAATTAAAACTTAATCGATTTAAATAGATAAGTATAATTTGTAATACTGAATAAATGAACAATTCATAACTATCAAAGTTCAAATTGAATTCTACATACTATTAATATAATAACAATAAGTGTAAATTGTTTTTTAAAGGAATTACAATTTTATTGCACTAAATATATATACTGTTCTAAGTATATATACTATTCTAAATACTATTTCCAGGATTAGAATACCTGCTCTAATGATTTCCTTTTATTCATTCCTTTTCTTTCTAACTGTTTTTCTATTATTCTAGCATTGTTTGCATAAGAATCTGCAACTTCTCTCTGAAATATTAAAATATTGGTAAATTTTTAAAAGCCATTTAATGAGATACAATAGTTAAATTAAAGACACACATTTATTTATTAATAATACCTTTGATATAAATAAAAAACAAGCAAACAGATTTTTTTCATTAATGTTTTAGGCATAAGAGGTTATTACTAGGTATTTTTATTGAAAAAGTAATATTGTGCGTTCAAATTTGCTTAGTCACTAAATTGCAGTTAAAGCTACACATTTATTCAGCAATCTGACAATATCTAATGTGCAAATTACTTGAAGGTTCCCCCAAGCCATATTTATGCAAAAGGTATTTGCATTTATGTACCTGCATTTAAAACTCAATACTTAAGCCTTTTTTTACCTCAGTGAAATGTTTCCTTTCCTTCTAAAAGATCTCCACAATGTAAAAACTATAGTCCACACTCTGTTTCTAACTCTTATAATCTCACAAATTTTAGAATCTATTATTTAATTATTTTGTTATAGGACATAAATTTGAATTATCGTCAAATTAAGAGTGTGGTGAGAAAAAAATTAAGCTATTTTTTATGCCAAAACATTTTGATGATGTTTTATGATGCGTCTTATGAAAAATATCTTTGTAGAGCACTTTCTAAGGGAAATTAGCTTGAACTCACATTATACATGTAGAAAGTCAATACAACTTCTTACAGCAAAACCGTTAAACTTTCAAGAATCATACACAATGCAAATTAGAAGTGTTCATGGTCTACTCAGCAATTCATAAACACATGTTAAGAAAGAAGTTTATCTTAACTTTTACATACAAGCTGCTAATGAAGAAAGGAATGAATTCCAAGAAGGTTCCAAGAACTTGATTCCTTCTTAAGATGAAATATTACTCAATATTAGGAAAATAATTTTATCTTTTAAATGTATACATTAACTATTCTAACTATATTATCCTTTTTATTACACTGTGTTAAAATAGTAAAATTGTATTGGTTACATAAATTAAGTGAATACTCAAAAGGCTAGTCTTCAGATATGCTCCACAAAACCTTAAAATTTCATGCAAATCTTCTGAGAGTTCTGCAAGTCAAAATTTGAGAGAATGTTTGACTATCACATGAAAAGCAATGTCAAAATATTTAAAATAATTAATTAAATACTATTTTTCGTATTGGTTGTATTAATAAACTATTTAGATTAAGAAATTAATTACTACAGTTGTAAAACTTGTGTTTGAATTGTTCAGTAAAAAAATACCATAATAAACTTTTTTTAAAGACCACTGAACTATCATAATGCAGGGTGATTATAAATAATTTATTAGATTTTAAAATAAGATTATGCAGGGAATAATGAATGATACATGAAAACAAATGTTAAATATTAATATCTCAATTTTAAAATTCATATTTGCCATCAGGTATCAGCAGAAACGGTAACTGCTTCCAAAATGGCATCAATGCAACAAAATGCATTCTGTGTTTTAAAACACAAGAAGTGTTTATCCACTGGTATCATATAGCATTCATTTCAGAGACAGTCTGGAACACAATTGCCCTGCAAACAAAGTATTCTGCAGTGGCATTGACAATTTAAAAAGCACAGGTTATTTGCATAAAGTCAAAAGCAGAGTGTGCCCTAATGATTCTATTGAAATTGTATAGAAAGTTAGTTTCATGAGTAACAATGCAGCAGTTTGTTAGCTTGATATTCTGATTTATCAGCCTGACATTTTTCTGGAAGATTTTGAGAACTTGATTGCAACTGAAACCATACCATGTGCAGTTACTGCAAAGTTTGCAACAGAACAATCTCATTTAACAACTAGAATTTTGTAATGACATGCAAGTAGCAAAGGAGGAGCATGGTTTTCTTAACCATGTCATGTTTAGCAACAAAGCCACATTTCTCTTAAGTGCAAAGATGAATCACAATAATGAACAATACTACTCTGAAGTGGGAGACTAAAAAATCATCATATTTTGCAATGCCAACAAGATTCCCTAACATTTCACTTAAGTGAAAAGGTGACTCAAAATAATGTCCAGGCACAGAATTCTGAAAATTATCATATGAGCAATGCTAACAAGATAACCCAAAATTCAACATCAATATTTTAGAAACAGTTAAAAAAAGTGTCTGGGCCTTTTTTTTCTTTGCTGAAAAGACTATGACAGATAGTTCACATTTTATATACAATTCTAGTTGTTTCTGCAACTGAAAGAACAAATGTTTTTGAACAAAGCCAGCTCCATCTCATTGGCATCTTGCAATGCATGACTACCTCAGGGAGAAATCCCACAGTGCTGGATTGGGTAATTTAATGACAATGATTTAACATTATTCACATGAATCTGGTTTACAATTTCTTTGTATGTTAAAAACTGCATGCCCTGATTACCAGAAATATTGGCTGATATCAAAAACCCTATTACCACTACATTTATGACTATTACTACAAAGATGTTCCAAAGGAAGCTACCCTGAAACTGATATGATGATATGAGCAAAAACTTGGATACTTCACATTTATTTTCAATATTCTATATTCCATGTGTAATTTTTTTTTATATACAGTGTTTTATATCCTAATTATAATTACCCTATACATGTCATCCACTTTATGTCAATGTGTTAAACAAATTTAAGTAAATACATTAATTAGACATTCTACAATGTGATATATAGAATATAAATAAGCAAAAGGAGAATAAATTGCATAAGGAGGAAAAAAATCATAAACAGTTTTGATAAATGAAATATTACTGCTTCAATCTCTTCTTCTTCTTCATCTATTGTGGAAACTGTAACAGAACTGAATTTTCCCATGTTTTTGGTGTGCTTAGTAACCATAATCTAAAAAAGATAACAAAACTTTATAAAACTATCAAATAATCAATGGGATCAATTAAAAAGCCTTTTAAATACTTAAGTAAATGTTTCTTACGATAATTCTAAAAGCATGCATGATTCTGAAACAAAATATGAAAAAAAAAAAAAGTTATACCGAAGTTCAATAAAAGATTTCAATTTAGTAGTATGTTTTTCCTCGGCTTTATTTCTTTGACATTAAATGCGCATAACTGCACTGTGCTTTCACATTTTGTACACACACCACATACATACACACACACACACAAATACATATTTTTAATTAACATATAGATTTCATTATAGCATTAAATTTTACAATATCTTGGATATTTAGTTTCTGCATCTAAGAGGTAAAACAAATATATTTTTATAATAAAATGCTGGTACCTGACTTTCTTTCGAGCCACATTCAGAAACTCATAGGCACTAAACACAGCTTATATTATACTTTTGTCAGATTAATTTTATCTTTAGCATGTTTGCTTCATGAATTTGATATTAAGTTGATAGCTAAATAAATGCAGATGCCTAATGTAAAGATAAAGTTCTGTTTGCACATACTAATTTTCGGAAATTTTCAATTAATATGGTGTCAGCTCTCAAGCAGTCTCCACAGAAAAAAACAAATATGGTAATCAGTTTATGCCATATCAAGAATAGATGTTCAATGACATTATTTTGACTAAGCGGGAAGTATGAACATCAGCCCAGAAATTTTCCCTCTTATTAGATATTCGGTTGCTTAAGCACATGAATTGGAAGCTGCCAGATATAAATATTTACAAATTAACCACAAATATATTATTACTGATTCTGATATGGGAGTCATGTGCAAAATTACAAAATAAACAGCAGCACAACAATGGCCACAGCATTTAGGTTCTTTTACTTATTTCACATAGCAGTGAATGAATGAAGACAGACAAATGTTTTTGGCAAGGCTTAACGAAATCGGCAGTTTTATGCCTTCTGTGTAATCTGCAATTAATTTGGTAAATCTATTCTGCAGTTTACATTTATCTTTAATCTGGATTTACTAAAATATTCACTCTTTTCCATGAAGCTTTGCATATCATTAGATTTATTGCCATCTAGTTAGAAATTTTTTACCAACGTTTATGTTAAAAAATTACCCAATTTTTTAATAATTCAAATTGAACTTCTTAAAACAGGGTTGCCACTCAAACAGGAGAATGAAATTCCCTGACTTTTAAAGGTTTTCCAGGTATGTTTCGAGAAAATTCCAGTAATGTACGTTGGCTGTGCTAAGAGATAAATTAATTATGGTATTACTTGTACTGTGTAGCAAATTCACTTAATTATTCAATAAATCCCCGAGGAATTTATCTAATTTCTTGGTATACTTTTCCACTTAAGAAATTTATAAAATTTAAGATATATACATTGGATAACAATTGTACATTTTATTTATTATTACTAGCGGGGCAAGCCCGCTATTCATTGTGTTTCGTGTGTATAAGAGTTCCTAATGTAATTTCGGGGTATTGAAAATTTGAAACAACTATCAGTGTCCAGTTTCGCGCTGTTTGGTCGCTTTATTAAAGTTTTCCAATAACTGCATACACGATACACATGCAGAAAATCACGAAAACACCCATCAGCCAGCCCCAATTTTCGGATTGTGAAATCCCATTCTGTGCTGAAACTCTTTCTCTGAAGGAGTCTATTTAAAAAAAAAAAAAAAAAAAAATGTGAAGCAGCCTTTGCAATCAAAATACAATTTTTCAAAATGTTCACCATTCAAACAATGAGGTGCGTAAACGAACAATGAAATTGACATCACGTCTTGCATGTCTCAACGGAAATGGAATCACATGCAACACCAATCAGCGATTCAAGCTCATCTAGAGTAGCGGGATTGTTTCGATAGACTGTGTCTTTCAATACACCCCACAGAAAAAAGTCACAAGGCCTCACTCAAATTGGAAGAATATGGAGGCCAAGCTATTCCTGTGTCAGTAAATTGTGGATAATCTAACACAATTACTCTATTCTCAAAGTATTCATGAAGAAAGCAAAAACCTTTATCTGTTCGATGTGGTCGAGCCCCATCTTGCATGAACTAGTCGATACCTGGTCGATTCTCCAATACGAGCTGAGAGCTGACAAATTGTTCCAAAATTGTAACATAACGTTCAGTAGTTATCGTTTTTCGCACAAAAAAGGGTCCGATAATGCCTCTGGTGTATACCGCAGCCCATGCAGCAACTTTACGCGAATGCAGTGCTTTCTCTTCATACAAATGAGGATTTTTGGAATCACAAAATCTCCAATTTTGTTTATTAACGATTCCATTCAAATGAAAATGTGCCTCATCTGTGAACCAGATGCAGCTCACATCAAATCTATCGTTGTCGATCATTGTTAGAATCTGATTCGCAAAAGTCAACCCTTTGTTGCACAGCTTTCATGGGTATGGCCTGATGACTCTGGATTTTGTATGGAAACAGCCGTAGGCTATTTTTTAATATTTTTTGCGTGCTCTTGTACTTCAAACCTCTCTCTGATGCAATCCATCGAATGCTTTTCCTAGGATTTTGCTGAACAATTCCAGAAACTTTGGTTGCATTTTCAGGAGTGACTACAGTTTGCCTAGGTCCAACATTTCCCTTTTGATCATCAGCCACACTGCCAAACCATTCGAATTTCGCAAAGAGCATGCGAATGGTTTTTGCATCGGGTCCAACTGGAACACTGAATTGGTTTTGAAAACTGTGAAGTGTTGCCGTAGGACTGTGTTCTAATCGGTGAAATTCCAGAACCAAAAAAACACGTTGTTCAATGGAATACATTATTTCACTTTCTACACTAGCCTCTTTTCGCTAGCCAACAGTCATACTGATCACTTTCGACTTTGGAGCACATTTTAAAGGCTACTGATAGGTCATTGTGATTAGAGCGCCATCTTTTAACGATATTTGTAACTAAATTTTCTAAACTTTGGTACACCATTTTTACAGTTTTGCTAATAAACGTACAGTTTACCGCATAATTCTCTCGATCTTTGTTGTAGAGATATTTAATTTTAAAATTAGGGCTTATTCGCTGATCACCCTGTATCATACTCTGAAAATTAATTAATCAAAAAAATATATATATCTCTATTAAAAAAATGCACAGATTAAAAAAAAAAACAATATTCTATTATTTAAAAAATTGCACAAAAGCAGGAAAAGAAAAATATTATTAATTATGCTTTTAAAAAGAATCATAGCTAAAAAATTCTTTAACTGCTCTTCATTCCTAAACATTCTTTATCTAGGTCAGATTACATTTTCGTTTTATAAACAATGGAAATATCATAATCATTATGCATAATTATTACCAAAAATAAAAATTAAAAAAATACTCAATTAAAAAACTGTTTAGGGGGGAAGGAATATGAACATTTTCAGATTTTATATTATGCCCAAAAGGGCTTTTATTTTTAACATTTTGTGTGTTACCTTTATTTATTAAATATCTTGTTCTTCACACTTAAAACATAAAATTTAGTTCAACAGCAATATAATTAGCAATATAATACAATCAAAAGTCTTTAATCTGGACTCGTCAGGATTTCAGCGATTCCGGATTATTGGTTTTTCCAGATTATAGATCATCAGTTTAAATCTTGTAAGATGGCATGCAGAAATTATAAAATTAAAAATATGAAACCGTAATTTATGAAATAAAGAGCAATTATGATTTAAAGGGTATCAAAATTTACAAAAAAAAAAAAAGGGCTTAATATTTATTTGTTTACTTATTAAACATTTCTTTCAATGCGTGCATGCATAAAGCATACATTACGCATAGTCGAAATTAGAAAATTGCAACCAGAAAACTATTTGATGTGTATTCGTGATATTTATAATGACGGGAAATTTGATTTAAATCATATCAAAGACGGAGTACATCGAGATGAAATACTACATTTAGTAAGAAATTATAAGCTGAATAAAATAAAAACATCTGCCCTGAAGATAAGGATAGTGCTGACAGATCAACTTCCAGTTCACTGCGCGCTGGGACGTACCCCCCTTCCCCAGGAGAGCAGCGTGAAATTGATAAATAGATTTCAGAATGGTTAGGGAAACAAAGGATATGCCTTTATCCATTTTTTGCAGCAATTCCACTTTTTGTTTGATGGACATCGAAACATGCTTTCGCTTTATAGATCCTTTGGCAGCTCCAGAATCGGAAATTCTTTTTGACATAATCGAAAGTTCAAGCTTACTTTTATAAAATTGCTCTAACAGTCTGAAAAAAATAATAAGCCAGATCCAATTCGAAGATTAAGGAACAACACAATCTGCAACATTAACTGAAATAGATACTTAGATAAGTTTAGCTAAGCTTATGTTGTTTGTTATACATTAAACATGCATGCTTAAATGCATTATGTGCATGCATAAAGGTATTATGCGCATGCATAAATGCATTATGCGTTTACGCATGAGCAGAAAGTTTGTAGCTTTGAGGTCCGATTATAGCCATCCGCATTAAAACAGAAAATTTTGACTGTATAACACAAAATAATTTAAAAAGAGCATATCTTTATAATTTAAAATACATAATTTTGCGTGCTGGAGATAATTTTTTTTTTTTTTTTTTTACATACAGTATTGCCATTGCTCGCTTTGAAATCAGTGAGTTTGTTAATCAAACATTTCTTAAAGCTGTTACAAAACATGAAATAAATAATAAAACAAATTCCAAATTTTAGCTTCTAGATCCCCATATTCAGGTGAAGATTTACATTATTCAAAATTTAATGGTTCTACGTACCGTTGTTTTATCACAATGCGAGAAACATCTATACATTTATACAGATTCTTCATTACTTAATTTCTTTAAATATAATACAGGGCGTATTTTTGTAGCAACAATTTGAAAAGTGAAACACCACAAAATGCCAAAACGAAATTAATAGGCCTTCTGGGCTAATAATATCAGGAAGAAATTTCAAATCTATGTCTGTGAGATTTTATAGTACATTTACAAGAATAACATAAATCAAGTTTTAAAAAAATGACTGGATGTAATGAAAAAAAAGTTTACCTTCTTTGGCTGAGGGACCTGAGAGTAAACATTTGTTTGTGAAGGTCCATCGCTTACTTTGCACACAGCTCCTTTTATTATGAATGTAATATTACTCTCTGGCTCATGCTGATAATAAAGTGTTAGGCCACATCTAAGGGAAAAACACAAAGAATTAAATTCACCTTACTTTTCAAATGCAATAATGCACTCTTAAGATTTACTTTTGAAAAGATTATTTCTTATAGAGTTTTCCACATAATATTAAAAATTTTCATGATTTTTATTTTATGATAACAGTTTCATAATGAAAAAAAATTGCTCTTATAAAAAAATCAAATGTTACATGCAAATTAAGATGCATAAAATATTCTTTTAAACAATTTCCTACAAATGCAGACTTCAAAATATTTTATTCAAAGTTAGCAATTTTTAAGCAAGTTATCAATTTTTATTAACTGCATTTACTTTTTATTCAAATTAATTTAATGTTTATGATTTCAGGTATCCTTACAGAGGAATTAAGAGTAAGAAACTTTTAATATGGAAAATTTTAAAAATCCTTTTCAGCTTAATGGGAAAGAAACTGTTCTTTATATAAATCATGTAAAACCAGCTTTTCTTGAATGGGATAAAACATGTGACAATGTCATCAAAACAAATATCAAGCATACCTTTGGATAACATTCCTCTTGTAACAACTATGGTAGGCTTGTAAAATTCTATATGAAATGTCTTTAACATGTTTACTGCCCAACATAAGATAATTCGTATTAGCATTCTTCTTCAGAACGCTCAATATGAGTTATCTCGTAGTAGTGTCTTGATTTACCACTTTTGCACTGCTACGAGTTACTTACTCGCTTAGCTCTTGTTTTAGCTCTAAAAAGGCAACAAGTTGAAGCATGTCTGTACGAATCAACTCGTAGTGAACTTCTGCGAAGAGCTTTGTCTAACAAAAGCCAACTACAAGATATTTTATAGGATGTTTTTTTTCTTAAAAAAAAAAAAAAAAAAAAAAAAAAAAATGCTGTAAACATTTTAATGATTGATATGAATCATAATTAGTATTTTTAATAATATAATATGATTAAATAAATTTGGCTTCTCGGACCGGAATTCAAAAAGTGCTGTGGCAGTCAACATGTTAAAGATATTTATACTTGGAGTACTGTGGAGAGGGATAATACTGCAGTGTAATACTTGTTAAATACAAGGGAACTTTCTAACCACCTACCAGATAGTGGCAGAACATGCTAAAACATTTTCTATTCAAGGGCAAGGCATGTGTAGAAACAATTCAGTCACCTGTATGCATCACTGATTGTAGCATGGTCTGAATACTTCTCATTAGTTATGTTTTTACAATGCCTTTAACCATTATGCTCTGTCATTCTTGGATTAATTAGTTTTCAAAGATTAAGCTATGAGTAAATAACTTTTACTAGATGATGGATTAATTCTTTAGTTGTATGAGGAAACAATTTACCGTAGATTAAAGTATAGTTCATTGGTTACAAACAGTAACAATAAAATAATTCAAACATGCATTATGGCATCTTAGTTTAGTACATCTTCAACTGAATCACCCATTTAAACTAGATAACACAGTCTAAACTTTATTTTCTAAAACCAATATTTCTTTTGATCCTCATATTTTTTTATATGTATTATCTGCAGAATATTATATAATAAAATCCTTTTACTATAAACTGGACTATAAACAGCTTATGATAGTTTTATTGTAAAAAACATTACTCATGTTAGATCAAGGGATCTTAGAGCATATCATTCATGATATCAGAAGAACAGTTGTAACAAATTAAAATTTTAGTTTATAATTTAAAGCTTTAAAACAAACAAAAGCATACCTTTTACATTTCTTACGGTACTGCTTTTCAACTCCTTCAGGCCTAAAGAGAATAGAATGAGCAGAATTAAAGTTTTAAATTCAACAGGAACTTAATTTCCATACATTAATAACAAAAATATTTATTACTATGAACTAGCATTGTTAACTCTAAAATTACATTAAAAATATTTTTTGATAATATTTTTACTAAAATAGGTTTTGAAATCACTTGAAATTATTTAATATTAGATATGAAAAATGTTATTAAAGACATTATCATCAATTCATAGTACATTCATGTATTTTGTATTTTATATATACATCCATCAATAATAATTACACACCTGATGCTCAGTAAGTTTTGGCATTCCTTGATGTGATATCATGAAGGAACAGAAAATATTGTATGAATTTTTTAGCTGTTCGTAAATGGTTTGAATTTTGTAGCCTGTTCACAAATGCACGATTTTTCCCCATTGTTAAAACTTAGTCATCAACATCAACATCGCATCAGTCAACTTCAAAATAAGCATGGCAAGTTTTATATATTCAGCTACTTTCTAAACTGAATTTAAATCAGGGTTTGGTTCCAGTAGACTAGAAAACACTGGAAAAGAGGAAGGAACTGGAAGGAATGGAAAGTGATGAACCCATGGAACTGCTACTGGGAATAAATTCACTAATAATAGTTCAACTTATTTCAAATTAAATTAAATTAAATTCTGTAATAAAAAACACAAAATAATTAATTTTCTCCAAAAATCTAATGAAAAGTGTGATAAAATTTTCCTTTTTTTTTATGGGTTTTTGATTTTTTTGATCGAATTAATTCCTCTCAGTCATGTTGGCCCAAAAAGAAAATGATCATTACAATTTATGATTTAATACAAAATTTTTTTAATTTGTATATTTAAATAGTTACATTTATTACATTATTTAAATAGTATATTTAAATAGTTAGTTTTTACAAATTTTTCAATATTTTAAACATATTACAATTTATGTAATATTTTGCTTTACTTCTTTTTTTTTTATTCATATATATAATGAAAATACTTGAATTGATTAATTATGTGTTAATGTTATATATGAATAAAATATAAATGCATTTATATTTTATTCATGTATTAACATGAAATAAATAAAAAATCAATTTCTTCTGGTCTTTTTTTTATTTTTTATTATGGAATAAATTTGCCAATCCTCTTGAGAATACATCACTTCTAAAATCTCATTTAACCCTGATGCAATTTGCTCATTAAAATTACATCTTGCTTGATGGAAAGCAATGTGTCACTTCAAAAATTTCTCATATATTATTACACAATGTAGTTGAGACTGAAGTTCAGCAACATTAGAACAATTTTTTCACCCCTTTTGAATGTATTCATTCAAAACTGCAAAACAAGTATGGTATCCAATGACAGAAAATACTTTTTTTTTTTTTGTTATATGGTTTTTTATGATGATGTAGATTCAATTTTGTAATTTTTCTTTTTTAGTTTCAATACCTGTTCTTTATAAAGAATTAAGTTATTTTGTAATTTTTATAACTTGAAATTCAATTTTAGAATCTATCTAAATTTACTGATGTGAAAGCAGATCTCATAGCTAAGTACCAAAAATACATACATATTTATCGCCAAGAAAAAGTTACTGCAAATATATAAATGAGACCAATTAAATTATATAGAAAATAAAATTATTTAAATTAATAATATAATGATGCTACATATGAATAAAATATAAGATAATTTCTGATTATCTACTCAAACCTCCTTAAAAAGTCTTTTGCAACCTAAGACGCAGAAGACCACAACAGTGGCAGAATGGCCAAAGAAATCAGCTCTGGAAGGAGAAAATATGCAGGCTCTAAGGCCCTCTATGAAAATGGCATTTATACATATAGAAGTTATCATTGTCATCATCATAAAAAAAAATTTATAAAATAAAAATATACCTTTGCAGAAAAGTAACACTTTATTCATATGTATGTGTGTATGCAAATAAACTACAAACTATAAATAGCAGTGACTAAATAATTATAAAAACAAAGTAGTGATAGTTTCATAATTAGCCATTTAATTATTTTTTAATTCTAGGTTCCTGGGCAAATATTTTCTCCATTATATCTTCAATTTTTGCTTTAGCCAAAATATCCTTCTCTATAATTAAGACACAATAACAAGCCGAACAAATACTATTCAGAATTATTATTTAATTCAGAAGTCAAACAACAAAAATCAGCACTATGTTTTCAAATTTTCACAGAACTAGTTCTGATGGTTTTACCGAACCACCATCTCAGCTGCAAAAGCACAAAAAAATTGCATCTAGCTTTGGATGAATGTTCATAAATAGATAGAGCACTCTCTCATTCTGGCTCAATATCACATTCAAAATAATGATTTTCAATTGAATTTTTTAGTATTCACCATTTACGGACTCCTGATATTCATCAATAAGATTATCAATTATTGCGGCTGCATAATGCCCTAATAATACAGATAAGTAGTCGAAAGAGTTCAGTGACAATGGCTTCAAAAAGTTTTGGAGATTGAGAAGATATACGTCTACATATAACTTACTATGCCCTTTAGGCCTATTTTCCATCAATGAAATGGTGCTATCCATTATCAAATTAAAGACAGTTACTTCAAATTGTTTGATAGGGCAACTGAAACTATAGTTGGACTATTCTTCATCATCCATATGTTTCACTTTTCGGCATCTTCTAGCAAGCAATTCTATAATTATATCACAACCAGCCTTTCTAGTTTATTACTGCAATCCATTGCAAATGATTTTGATGTGTTGAATATTAAATCAAAGTTTCTAGTAATAGTTTTCAAAGAACTTGTAGCCTCCCTAATCATATCATATGGTAGGATGTAATATAATTCTTCAGTCTGCAAATATTTCGTTACTGGTCTAGTATATAAAAATATTCTCAAATATACACAAGCAGACAAAATTATTCTAAAAGTTGATATTTTATCCAGAATAGATTTTGCCATTTGTCGTATCTTTGCATTTTGTATATCACTGGAAGCAATACTTTTGAGTGCAAGCATTAATTCTACATAAAAACAATTATCTTTGCAATTGAAAGTGCCAAAATTTATTTTAGGGCATAGTATTTTGAACTCTATCTACCTTCGCCAATGAGATGAAGCTTCCTACATTTGGTTTTATCATCGATTCTTCTCCACACATCCATTCTTTGATAGGATTTTTTTAAATAATCTGCCACACTCATTTATTAATGAAAAAAGAGATATTTCTTCTAAAACACTATTTGTAGAATCAACCAATACTAAATTTATAGCATGGAAGTAACACCAAACAGGAATTCAATGAGGTGCTTTTTCAATTATTTAGTCAAACCACTGTTAGCACCACACACATTTGATGCAACATCTGTAGAATCACTAATACATTTTCTGATATCAATGTCTATGTTCTGTAAGAAGCTGATGATCATATTGCACATACCAAGGCCAGTGGAATCTGCACAAGATAAAATATCTATCACTCTTTTGTATTTTAACAAACATGTATAAATAACAACTAAACATTGGTCCATTTGATTTATGTCAGTAGAAGCATCAATTTAAAATGAGTAAAAATTTGCCTCTCGAATCTTAGCTAATATTAACCATCTCATGACATTCTCGATGCAAGTTAAGATATAATCTATCGTCATTTTAGATAATAATGTTACTCTACTCCCTCAACATTGACGATCCACATGTTTCGTTATAACAATGATATGGCACTGAAGAATAGGTTCGTAGTTTGAAAGTCATGGTGTTGTTTCCAGGAAATTTCCATGATCAACATTAACATCAGTTAAGCTTTGCACATTTTCATTCTGATGACTTAAAAAAGCAATTCCTCTTTTTCTGATAAATTGAACAACATTGATAATTACTTCCAACACTCGCTTTCGTTCTATTGTAGTTTTTTGTCGAATCATCAATGTTTCTAAGAACAAAGTACAATATATGTCTGTTCCTTTTATATTCATAATATGTGCTTCTGTATACTTATTATGAATTTTACTCACTTCATGTTCATTCACATGTTGTTATCATGCACAATTTCTCATTCCTGCATTAGCAAAAGTAATTTCGTTAGAGCTGTTGAAATAAAGTAAACAAATGAAACAGAATAATCCATTTGTCTCTTTATGGAAACTCAGCCATTTCCTATTACTTCCATTAGGATAATAGAACACTAGATGAAGAAGAAAAGAGATATGCTTTAACCTTTTCGCGACGGCGCACCTTTGTTTAAGGCGCTCATGCGGGACGGAAGAGAATTGAAGGCAGTCACCGTACAGGACGGAGGTTTTGCAACACTAAGCCTAATTTTATAACAAAAATCAGAAAAACAAAAGTTTCGTTTCTAGCATCGTAATTTTTGGTATCATTTTAGATTATTACTTGAGCTCTTATATATGTTAAAATTAGCTCTTCAAACATTTGTTTCTTAATTTTACGTGAAAATATACTTAAAAAATAGCTTATCTTCTAAAATAATTTTCGGAAGCGCTATTCAAATTATTCCAAAGTTTTAATTGATAAAATCTATCAATAAAGTTTAATTTTACGTGAAAATATACTTAAAAAATAGCTTATCTTCTAAAATAATAAATAATTCTAAAATAATTAAAAAGAACACAATAAAGACTATTTACAGTAAGAAGTAACAAGATTTAAAATGAAAACGAAGTGTGGTAAATCTCGAAGCACAGAAAAGTATCACTTTGTAACTCTTTAGAAAATGAATCAGTATTCTCATTTGCGTTAGTTAAATGGTTCACTAACCATACTAAGGTGTTCTTCCTCTGATAAATAGCGCCTTCCCGCCATAATAGACTGAAGGTGAGGCTTTCTTAAATAAAAAAAGAAGGAACGGAAATATATCTGAAGGCAATGCAAAACGTAAAAAAACTCTGCACAGTAACCCTAAAAGACCGTACATAGTAGAGGGAAAAAATAGAATAAAAAAAGGAATTGGATATAAATCAGATACGAGAATGTTTTCATTAGCACCCAGCGATTTAAAGAGCCAGCCTCTGTTTACGCTTTCCCTCCGCCCTCCCACCCTCGAACAGCTGATGAGTAAAATACCAAAGTCAAGTAGAATATAACAAACTCAAGGTCAGGAACCTTAAACTGTGTTCATTTCAAAAGTAATGGACACAGGATGCCATCTAGTGCCCTTCAGAAAAACGTTCCACCTTAAAATGCGTATACGTATCACTCGTCCTCTGAATGCGATCTTGGTTGATCTTTACATTATGGTAACTTGGCGATTTTTTGTGAAAATTTGGACCAACTCTCCTACAGCAACCCTCTATTTTTTTTTCCCCGCCGCCATTTTGTCTTCACGAAGTAAAGACATGTTTCTTTTCTTTTTATCTCCTGAACACTTCTTCCAACAATCTACTAGCCGAATTACACTTATGCTAGAAATTTTATCAAACAAAACTGCTTAATCATGACAAATATTCACTGCAAAATTAGGAAAAAACTGCACAATACCATCCTCCTTACGCATTTTTCAAAATAACACATACACATAACATAAACCATGTACACACGCCGACTTATTTTTACTTAAAAAAACATCCCAGAATTGCACAAAAATGGCATTGCGCACACTCTTCACTATATCCATGTACGCTGCTTTTTTCTCATAAATTACAAAAATTTCACGAAAATACATGACAATTTTCTCAATCTTTAAACCCGGTAAAAAGAACATATGTGAAATTACCTGATCGCGAAAAAGTATTTACCTTTTACAAATATGAACATTTCCACATATAAAATAAATAAAATATCCAAAAACTTTTACCTCTAAATCATCTATTACATTATACACGTCACCAACGAATTCATACAGCAAGCATTACAAATACTTAGTATCAAATATTTAAATTATTTCCATTCACGTTTATTTCAACTTAAACGTATACCAAATTCCTACAAGCATAAAATTCACAAAATAACTATCATTTCATTAAAATATCACTAAACCATGTACACGTCGACTTATTTTTACTTAAAAAAGATCCCAGAATTGCACAAAAATGGCATTGCGCACACTCTTCACTATATCCATGTACACTGCTTTTTTCTCATAAATTACAAAAATTTCACGAAAATACATGACAATTTTCTCAATCTTTAAACCCGGTAAAAAGAACATATATGAACTTACATGATCGCGAAAAAGTATTTACCCTTTACAAATATCAACATTTCCACATATAAAATAAATAGAATATCCAAAAAACTTTTACCTCTAAATCATCTATTACATTATAACACGTCACCAACGAATTCATACCTCAAGCATTACAAATACTTAATATCAAATATTTAAATTATTTCCATGCACGTTTATTTCAACTTAAACGTATACCAAATTCCTACAAACATAAAATTCACAAAATAACTATCATTTCATTAAAATATAATTAAATTCAAAAACACTACTTAAAATATAAATGAGCACATACATTAAATTAATAAAAATTAACCTTACAATCCTAATTACTTTAAACTAAATCATTGCTAATAACAATTTTCCCAATAAAACAACAAATTCCTTTCCACCTTACATTTACAACAATGCATAAAAATAATATCCTCAAATAATTAAAAATACTAACTTACCTAATCTTCTTCAGAATCTTGATTACGTGGCGGATACCACTTTTCTTCCTTCTGTTTCAGAATCTTTAAAATCATACTTATCTTTCAAAGCAAGATACCAGGTAAAATAATAACATAATAAAACATCTTTTATTTCTCTCTCGCACAACCTTAAAAAAACATTTATTACTATCCTTTTCAATACCACTAAATACCCATTTCGAATTCACTTTAGTTACGGCCATGGGATCCAAAATTCACAAACACTATTTCACACAACACAGAATAAAGCCAAATACAAATTGCCAGATTTTTTCCCGATTAAAGAACAGTAATTCGTCCATTAATATCACATGACATATCCCATGATCTCTCATTTCCCTCACACAAAATAATGCGTAATCAGAACTGAATACTACTCACATTCTTAACAAAGTCTAACTAACCTAATCTTCTTCCGAATCTTCCTTACATGGTGGATACACTTTTATTATGGATTCAATAAAATTACTGAACGATTTTTTTTCCGAATTTGATAGAATTTGATAAAAAAAAAAATTCTCTTTATCACATCTACAATTCACTTTAGACAGCGCCATACAATCCCAAAATTATTCAACCCTACTTCACACAACACACAATGAAGCTTAATACAAAATAATATACATCCACAGATACTTGTCCAAATTCCCCCCTTTTCCGATTAAAGAACCGTAATTTGTCCATTAATATCACATGACATATCCCATGATCTCTCATTTCCCCCACACAAAATAATGTGTAATCGGAACTGAGTACTGCTCACATTATTACCAAAGTCCCAGGTAGTAACCTTTATCGCCTCCAAACTACCAGTTACCATATTGTAAAGATCAACCGCGATCTTTACTGATGCGTGGATGGGACGCCCGGCTGTAAAAGACATTCTTAGGGAATGCGTATATGGGACATCTGTCCTGAAAGGGTTAAAGCTAAAGATTGACAGCAATATTTGGAAATAAAATCCTGTTGATCTTAAGCTGCTGTTGATAATGTAAAATAGAAAGCTGAAAAATATGAAATGTACGATGATGATGCGAATGTTGTTGCTAGAGCAATATTTTCTATATTGGTTGTGTCCATTGTTAGCAGCACCGAACTCTCCTCACATGTGTTTGATATTTCAACTTCAATGTTTTCAATCAATGTTTTTTAAGTTATCCATTTTTCACCTGAAGCCAAAAAATGATAGCATAATTAAAAGAAGTCAAATAATGTCACTTTCCAATAACAGCCAAACAATACCAACTGACATGTACGTAACAATTTTTATTCATTCAACAAACTAATAAATAATTAATTACTGGACTCTTAATCATATAATTACAATTAATTACCCAATATTGTATTAATAGCAAATGAGAAAAAAATTGCTCCAAAACTGTTCATATAGTTTTATCGAGCAATTTGTATTTGGTTAAACTGTTCACTCAATCAAACAAATAAGAACTTTTTCGAAATATATGAAGAACAACAAACAGCACTGCATTAGGCTGCTGATCATACGGAATATTTTTTTGCAGAATATGTTGTTATAGCTATTGAAGCCATGCTAATTTGATGTTGATTTGAATTAGCCATGCTAATTCAAACCACAGAACTTTTATAGCTGGATATAAACTATAAGAGCACGTACAGGAGATTGTGAAAATTTATTACATTGCCCCATACTTAAAAGGATTGCCCGGTGGTACAGTAGTTGCACCACAGGTCCAGGGTTGGATCCCCGAGCTGTGCAAGGTCAACTCAACCTTTCATCCCTTGAATGGGTCAATAAAATGAGTACCAAGTTCGATTGGAGACTTAACACCAGGGGATCCTGCAACAAGCTGACCACTTGCCCAGGGTATATGCTGATGCACTCCGGGGCTGAAGGTCAAGAAAGCAGATTTCGAGGCACTGCAGGCCATGATCCAGCAAGGCTGTTGCCCCACTGAGTTTAGTTTACACTTAAATGGAGATTAGGTACAAGACGCAGCCTTTTAACCCTCCGAGCGTTACGGGTTTAGCGCTGAAATTTCAAAGTTCCTCAAAATGTCATGAGTAAGTGGTATTTGCTTGATTTTAATTAAAAGACTTCTCTCTCACTTTGTACCTTGATTCCTTCTCTTTCAATATACATCCAAACCAAAATCGAATATGTTAAAAGCTGGCAGAAATTTTCATGTGTAATGAATAAAGAAACTAGCCTTCTGTGCAGAATTTTCTGGCCATAATGCTAAGAGGGTTAAATCCAGATATTGACAAACTCTTGTCCACCACATTTTATAGCATACTATATTGTATCAGATACCACTGTAGAGCGATTAGATTTTTAAGGCTGAGAAACATGAAAAATCTGCCATGTCTTCACCAGGATTCAAATTACAGATTTCCCAGTTGTTAGCTGGACATACAAACTACTTACATCACAAAACCACACATAAAAGGAATGCAAAAACTCATTAGAGTGTACATTATTAAATGTTGGTACACACTTTCTCAATAATTTGTTACAGGTATTAACAGGTTAAGTAATTTTTTTAATGGCAGAGCATCAACAACATTTATTTTTGAATGAATGCTTTATGGACTACAGTATTTTGACTAGGATTAGGATTATTCAATTATGGCAAAGCACACGAGGGTTATCTGCCTAATGGGAGGGATGCCTTCGTGGAGGACTTTCTAAGGGAACTGGCTCATATACATGTTACACATGGGGAAAACCACGAAAACGTCCATGCAGCCAGCCTGTTCGCGGGATTTGAACTTTGGACCAAACTACCAGTGTTCAGCGTCTTTACTGCTCGGCCGCTGGTGGGCCCAGTATTTTGACTATAAACTAAAAAGGTAAATTAAAAACATTTCAAAAAGAAAAGCAAAGTCAAATACCATTTCAAATATACAGTTTCATCCTGTTCACAAGTCAACTTGTGAGCATGCTTTGCTCCATCAATAACATGAGCACCATCTCTTGGTCTTACGGGAAGCCTTTCAAGTTGGCAATCTTAAAGAAAAAAAAAAAAAAAAAATCTTTTGTTAAAATACGAAGTAAAATAATAAATTTACATAACAACAAGGGGGGAACTCAAATTTAACCGCCCATTACATAATATGACAAAACTTTCACATAAGCCTTATTTGTTCCTTAACCCGGGAGCACAGGCGCGCACTCGAGTTACACGAGCATACGCCCTGGGTCCTAAAGACCCAGCTCATGTTTTTTGAAGAAAAAACTGTTACTTTTCAGGTAAAAGTATTACATTTATACCAAAATATTATAATCAAACTTTAAAAATATGAAAATTAAAATTAAATTTTAATTTCTATAATATTTTTTATCAAATAAAAATTTTTAAAGGAATAGAAAAAAACGTATTATATTAATAAAGAATTTATTAGGAAATCATTATATTATTATTCAGGTTTATTAGGAATATACTGCTTGAAAGAACATCTTCCTCAGAAAGCTTCAAGTTTTTCATCAATTGTTATGAGCTCACCGACAGTGTAATATTTCTGGCAGTTATTCACAAACTTTTCAAAAAACTCTCTAATAGGTGCAAAGTTTATCTGATCCTTTCTTGACGATGTGAGTTCCTATGTCATCAAAACACAAGCATCTTAACCCCTTAACTGCCGCGGGCATATATATACGCCTTGCTCAGCCGATGCGTTAACTGCCCCAGATGCGCAGCCGATGCGTTAACTTTGCGAATAATTTTAGGTGTAGCAGCGCAAAGCAAATGATAGCAGTTTGGAAGGGCGTATATATACGCCTGGGGCAGTTAACGCATCAGCTGAGCAAGGCGTATATATACGCCCGCGGCAGTTAAGGGGTTAATAAAAAAAAAAAAAAAAAAAGTTTGTAGGACATAGTTTTGTAAAAAATTTTCAAGCCGGTTCCGTCTGTTACCCATAGATCCTGCACATTTACATAAGATGACTTACATCACAAAAATATAAACGATCTATAAAAGCGCGAATTTCAATTAAAGTTGTGTGACCAGCATCTCTCTTTGAAAGCTGTCAGAAATAGATGGAATATATATATTTGTACGCCTGACGACGTTCAGCAACATTTGTTCACTTAGTAAAAGTTCCCACGATTCATTTGGAGTCTGCACATATTTTGCCTTAGCGATGTTTCCAGGCAATTAGTAATAATATTATGAGTAGGAGTTTTAACATCAGCTTTAGGCTTTTCTTTTGAATAACTTTCATTATTAGTTTCTTCAATGAAGTCTTCAACAGTTCATATATCTAATAATTTTTGCAAATGTAACATTTCTTCCTTATAGGATAAATTACGTGACATATTTGCAGCTTTCTGTGCTACCACAAATGAACTACCTTACAGAATGCTAATAGGCGCGCTGGATCTGAAAGACCCGATCCTGTCAAAACAAAACTTCGAATCAAATTTCCAGCGAAAAATTTCAGGAACATAAAGACGATGGCCTTGAAGGAGACTACACTGAACCACAACCGTTTGGGGAAAATAGGAATGCTTTTAGAAAGGTTTTTTAATCCGACGGGTCCATTGGACCTAACGCCCGCGAGTTAAAGGATATACGGTACTTTTCCGTTTTGCCGCTCGCAAGCGATAAAGTCGCCAATGATGGTACAACCGATGGTAAACGGAATATTCTCGCTGGTAACCTTTTAAGCCTCATTTTCAAAACAAGTCGCAGCTTTTTCTTATCAGATTGATTGTTTCTTTCAATACTGGCATATAATTACATAGAATTTTTATCAGATAGTTCAGTTTTATGTCTAAGGCCATTTTCAGTAATAAAGTCAATTAGGATGCAATCACAGCACTTACCCGAAGCCGAAAATATAGAAAAGGTAAAGTCAAGGGTTAAATTCATCAATTCTAACGAGAATGCATTAGCGAAGTAAAGCACTGCAGTGTTACATAATTTCTGAGTAAGCTATTCGTACGAATTGAAACATTTCTTGCATTTAAACTTGTATTCCAAATTAAGATTTAACTTGAAATTAATGTAGATAATTACTGAGAGCATTAGATTTTTGTAGAGTAATTTACGTGAGATGGCTTTTTATAAAATTTTAAGCGATAGTAAAATGTTTATGTCTTCAAAAAAAGAATTCTTAGAACTAAAATTTTTTTAATATTTTTTATGTGTATACTGTATGTTGTCGCCAATAAAGTCTACTTGGCGAGATTTGCGCCGGCGAAACGGAAAAGTACCGGATATACTTATATACCTCCTTTCTTTCAAATGATTAGTTTAAACAGAATTTAAGCAGGCTCAAGACTGTTTTGATAAACGCCGTAACTTACCCAATATTAAAGCCATATTACCACATAAACAATAATATACATTTAGAGGCTTATCTTCGTTATACTCTTCTTGATCTTTAGTGTCAGAGCAAACAATACTCCTAGATACTACTTTAGGCATCTTAAACCTTAATGTCAAAATTTAGACCAAACAATTTCTTCCGTCGCAGAAAGAACTATACAATATACAGAAATATTTTGGTGCACTTGTAAAATAAGTTTTTTAGCGAAAACATAGGAAAATATGGATTGTTTTGATTTAAAAAAAAAGAAAAAAAATTACTAGTAAAAGAAACGCAACATACTAATAAAAATTGTTCAGATCTAAATAAACTTAACTAAGTTTCTTTTTAAGGTTTGATTATATTTAGAAATATAGTACCTTGATCATATATTGTTTCCATAAATTAGTAATACTAATACAAATTAGTATTATTGTACATACAATATTAACAAAAAATAGCAGAAATAAATTTAATGACTCGATTGCAAACATCTGTTTTTAAAGTATGTTTATGCATATTAAATATTCGAAAACCTATATTGATTTATAACATAACGAAAATATAATATGATCTCTGTAGAATAAGTAATTTCGTTATACTATCGAGATAAGTCTAAATTATTAAGAAAATGGGAAACTTGAAAGAAATTCTTTTGACAAGTTATATAATTTTTGAGTTTGAATTACTTGAAGTTTTTGTATAGACACAGTAACTTTAACTGTAGTTTTGTGATGTATTAAATTTAAATCGGCGTCGTAATCAGAATCTTGCAATATGTGGTTGTGCATGATATGTACTCCAAACAAAAGTCCTTAACTTTCGGCCATTATGCTCCTAATGATAAGGTATACGAAATTTTCATTATAATATTAATATAATTTTACATTTTCGGTAGCTGAGTCTGCATTTTCGTTATCGATTGTTGTAATGGATGTCGAACTTTATCTTATAGGTGCTTAACAAGAAGATACCCGAAAATCCTAAGTATAAACATGTAAAGCCTGCGATTGATACCGGTGAGTGATAATTCTCAACATTGGCTTGTTCTAAAAACATGATTGCAAAAACTGTTGGGTTGCAAAACTTGTTTAAGAAATTCATTGTTTTGTTATTTTTACGAGTACAATGAACTGCTCTATATATTAGTGAATAATCTTCCGTAAAATAACAGTTAATGAGGTAGTTTTGGGGAGGTAGAAGTTTCTGAGTTGCGTTGTTTACATGTATGTTACATTGTTATGAACTTTCAGACACGTCTTTAAGTGTTATCTTTCACTTCAGAGTTTGTAAGCAGGGCAATAAATTTATTGGGGAAAAGTGCAGAATCACTCACTGTTTGGCGCGTTTTTAAGAATTGCACATACTCTGTATCCATGTATACATCGACCTATTTTCACTTCAAAAATCTTCCCAGAATTGCACAAAAATGGCATTGCACACTCCCTTGACTTCATCCATTTACACATAGACCTATTTTCACTTAAAAAGTCAAGGAAAATTGACAAAAATCCAATTCTTCTTACTCTTGTAAAAAGTGGCAAACAAATAAGTGGGCGATTCTGCACTTTACCCATTTTTGATCCAGCAAGCCCATATAAACTATGTTGCACATTGAAATGTTTTAGGAAGCACTTCTGCAGAGAACCCGGTAAATGTAAACATTGCCAACTTTAGCGATAATAGTTCAAACCTGGTAACCTATCGTATTCATTCTATTTGCTTGTTTGAAGGTTGCAACCATTCATCTTGCATTCGTTTTGTTGAATTATCACTGTCGTTGTTCGCATTTGGAGATTTATATTCTTCTGTTATTTATTATTATTTTTTCTGATTTTTCACATTATTTTTTCTGAATTTTTTAACAACGAATAGATAGAAATATTTTCATATAATTAAAGAAGTTTTCGTCGATAGATGCCGGTTCTCGAATCCAATTTTTATGGCGTAAAATTTTAACAAGATACTATATTGTTAATGCTTTTCTAACAATAACCTTTCAGAGGATGGCAGGTGCGACATGAATAGCTGATTAAATTGAAATAAAAAATATTATTGATTATCTAAGATGACAGAGTAGTTTGATACATCCCCATGGTCATCAAAGTTAGCAAACCACTGCTGGTGTAAGGAATACAGTTCAAATAACTCTTGAAAAATAATAAAAATGTGTAAAGTTTTAGTTTTATTAATAATGCTACTGAAGAAAATTTGATTACTGTTGAAGGTTATTTGTATTGTGAAATATATTATGAAAAAGAAATTATTTTTGTATATCACGTTTTTCCGGTTAGTTTTACATCTACATGTTTATTATCTGTGAATTTTTACTACCATATGCTTAATATATTGTTTTATCTGCTAACTTGAATTTACATGCACTAAAAATCACGTTTACAGCTCGGCTCATCAAGGATGAGCCGCGAGCTTGGCGAGTAAAAATTGCAACGCCGCCAATGGGTTCTCTGCAGATGAAAACCCATGTTTTATTCTTTTATTTGTTATGAGGGCTTATTTAATTAAAAGTGTTGAGGCTCCTGTCCATCTGATGCAGAGAAGGACAGGGATTTCTTTTCTCTCAATGCAGCTATTATGTTTTTTATAAGAAATTTGGTACAAAGTAATAGTTGGAAATGAGGTCCATTATAGTAAGTAAAGTGAATTTAATCCTTAGTGCTCCGTTGGCTCCACTATGGGGCCATCCAGCATTTATTCTGGGTAAAATCCTAGATACGGTGCAGCCTTGGCGCGATTTTGAAGCTTATCGCCAACACCAAAAATGACCCAAAGAACGTCTATGTATATACTATACTATACACTATATAACTATATGCATAGTATATACTATGTATAACTATATATATTCTTTGAATAACCCGTTTCCTACTCATCGTATACGTCCCGTTTTTACTGCTTATCATAAAGTCGCCAAATCCCGTGTGCACCGGATACTAGGATTAAACCCTATTCTGCAGCTCCATAGGCTCTGCTACAGAGCCAATGTTTTTAGCTTTGTTGGCTCTACTATGGGGCCATCTGGCATTTGTTCCGCAGCTCCGTTGGGTAGCCAAATGCTTTTAGCTTGATTACGCTTAAGATGCTGGGGAATCGTCGGCGTTGGCAATTCTTATCTGTACTTAAAACTTGCTCAGTCTCTGTACTGTCACAATTAAACCATTTTTTGACCTTTTTTATGGTTAGCCAACATGGAGAAAAATAATTATTGCGATGAGAATTGTTGAGTGGTAGTGAAGACATGCTTGATTTTCAAGTTTTAGAAGATATTGTAAAAGACAATGTTGATTTTTAATTCTGACACTTCAAGTTGTGGTCCCGAAATTATACTACCAAAGAGACGATGAATGAGAATTATTGAAAGTGAAGATGAAGATTCGTAGGATGACTTCGATGCGACACTTGCCCATGTAAACCCAGAGTGCACATGGGAGATTCTTTCTAAAGATATCACACCATAGTGAATCACAAAATTTAAAATTTATCTTTCATTTGCAAGAAGAAAGTGCATATATATAAAATTAAAAACATTCACAAGCATGTATAATTCTTCTTACTTAAAATAAGACCCGTTTCACTCGTTCCGCTGCAAAAATGAGCCGGAGTTTCTGGTAGGCAGTGGTACAAAAATGTGCAGAGCACTAAGGGTTAAGAGAAAGTTTCAAAAGTTGCTCTTTAAACCATTTTAATGTGTAATGAGAATGATTTGTCATATTATGTAGGTCACTCTGAAATATTTGCAATTCGTGCCGACGATAAGTGACCGAGAAAATTAATAGTTAGATTTGAAAATAGGAACTATTTGAGCACAGCAGACTTTTATTTACTGGCCAATTGCAAGTAGTTTAGCATAAAATAAATTTTAGGCAGAAGGAAAAAGGGAGTTGATGCGAGAACATTATCGCCCTATAATTTTGTATGATTTTAAAGTGGAATTAAATCAAGAATACTTTCAATGCCTACAGTTAGCATTTGGAAATGAAGGTCCATCATGTGCTACTGAATGCAGATGGTTTACAGAATTTAACAGAGGTCATAACTCTCTTCAGGATGAAGGACACACAGGAAGGCCATTGTCAGCTGTAATCCTGGATAATGTGTCTGCCGTACAGAAAATGTTAATTGAAGATAATCGCTGCACCTGCCAAATGATACAGAAGTAACTTAACATTGGATCTGTCACTATACATAAAATTATTTATAAGGACTTGCATAGAAAAAACTAGTTTGTCATTGGGTTTCCCATAATTATTTAACAAAGTGCCAAAAAAGAGGAATGTATCAGAATCAGTAAAGAAACCCTTAACTTACTTAAAGAGGCTGACCACTGCATTATTTCTATAATCTTAACTGGTGATGAAATGTATGTACCATTTTTTGATGTTCCAACAGGTCAAGAAAGTAAAGTGTGGGTCTTTGAAGATGGTCCCATGTCCACAATGGTGAAAAGACATTGTGCCATGAAAAAAAGTGATGTATACTGTTGTCTTCAGAAGTACAAGACTGTTCAAAGCCATCAAGCTGGAAAGACAGAATACAATCACAGATAACTGGTACACTACTAATTCTTCAGGAAGTGAATGTTAGAGGAATCATGTTCCACCATGACAATGCATCATCTCATTCAGCAGTATTGACATCAGAGTGACAGAACATCCACAATATTCACCTCATTGTGTGACTTTTGGCTATTTCTTAAATCTAAAAAAGAAACTTACGAGGACGTTGTTTTCATTCCGAAGATGAGATTAATGAGGCTATAACTGTATTTTTTCATTGATTCCAATAAATGAATGGCTTTGAGGCATTTAGTCTTTGGAACATTTTCCTACAGAAGTGCATTGATGCTGGAAAAGATTTCTTTGTAAACTCCTAAAATTTCATAAGCATGACTTTAAAAATCTGAAAAATTACAGAGTGACCCTCATATATTCTAAGATTATTAGCATTTTTGTGTATTTTACTGCAGAAAGTTTTTCAAGTCCCAGATAGTTAAAGTGTCTGCAAATAAAAAATCTTAAATGGATTATTCTGGACTGAATATATATGGAATTAGATAATCAGGATTAAAATCCTACCGAAAACATAGCTGATATCTCATGTTTCTCAGTTTTATAAATAAAGCAGCAAATTTCGCTGTTTCCCACACCATCATCTGGAGAAACCTGCATTCAAATGACTTGTATCCATACCCCAGCAGCAGGTACAGCAATGGCTTCCTGCTGATTGTGGTCAGCAAGTTGCATTTGCTGAATTCTAGAAGTAGAAGTGTGTGACAGAATCCCATTTTTCAGCTGCTGCCCTGTTCACTGATGAGGCACACTTTGGCAGAGAAGGCTGCCACACATCTGTGGACAATGGACAATCTCAGGAGTACTTGAGCATATGCTGCACATTGGTTTTCCATCAATGTTTGGTTGGGCATTGCTAAAAGAACCACCTAATAATCCCATATCTTGTGCCTGTTAGTCAGGATGCATTATTATTTTTTGGATTAGATTTTCATGGAAGAAGTCTTGACTGGATCGTTATTTGAGGAAAGCATCCAGCAGCTGCTATGCAATGATGTGTGGTTCCAACATGATGGCACCCTAACTAATTTTTTTCTTTTCATTTAGCAACACTTTAATTCAGCATTTGGTGGTCCTATTCATTGGCATACACATTCGTAGAACCTGTCCTGCCGAGATTTCTTTCTCTAATGTTACCAAAAAAGCCAAACAAACACTGGTAGTATGAATCATCCTTACTCAGTGAAAAGGGTCTTGTCACACACATTAGTAAAGTTATTGTGATCATCCATGAGACCTCTGGTATATTAAAAAAAAATCTGAGATTCTATGCTACATTGATGCCACACTTATATTCATAGTTGGTGGCTGTAACTTCAGATCGTTACTGGGACTTCTGATTATTCAATACTGAATGATTTACTGATGTCTTATTATTCATGTGACTCTCTCTTTCATTTCTTGTTTTCTGCTCTATACATGAGGATTGTTTC